TTAATGTATGTATTTACAAACTCCATGAATGAACTAAAGTGCATACAGTTATCTGAGAACTTAAATCAATGACTTACAATACAATTATTCTAATTAAATGGACTTTTAATTAGGTAAATAAAACTTTATAGCTTGTTTAATTAACGATAACTGTTAACATAGAGATGATATAAGATGCGTATTAAATAAATAAGACACGTATTGTATTTATACAAATTAAACAAAGTAAATATCAATTTATTTTTTAAAAATAAATAGCATGTGTATATTAAGTACTAGTAAACTCGCAATAAAGTTATAATTAATTCCAACATGTTTGATCTTTAGTTCTTGTTTTATGGTTTTGCTGTACAATCCATAGCGAGTCGATTGGATTTTTCGGCTATCAATACATTCATAATTTAAGAGTTATAATAATGAGTTAAAATTATAATAAATTACTTCATGGATATTGATTTGTTTGATATAAACGTGCGAATTGTTAACGATATTCATTACGGTATAACCAAACTCTGTAGTTCTGAAGGCAGACCAGGGAGGGGGAGGCTCAGCAAACTTCTCCGGTGTTGGGTCGCCGTCCATACCCTTTCATACAATTCATTTTTATTTTTTCTAATAAAATACATGTCATAAAAACCCGGTATAGCTTACAGCCGATCCGCTCAGTATATGGACTGTTGAAAACGGATTCACGTATGGATTACTTGAGTTTGATATCTAAAACAATGATAGAAATCATTTAATTTAAATGAATTAAATAAAATAGTCTTTAAAATACGGTTCGATTAAAAACAGGATAAAATCTGTCATAATAGTGATAGTGTCCCCAAAAAGCAATATCCACGCCCTGTCGGTGCAGTATTTCCTCCAATTCAAGCAATTTAGTGGACGTGTCCCCCGTCTGACACAAACAAGTATTACATTTATTGGTCATAAATATATTCTTATATCCAAAACAATTACTTCAATAGTCATGCCATTAACGCAGTCGTTATCAGTGGTCGAGCAGTACAGTGACCGATGGCCTAACCCTATAATCCACGGCCGTTGAGCCCGATTATGAGGCAGATTGGCTTCTGTGAGCACTCTTTCTAACCATAGTTTTTGTTGCAAAACCTTATCATTGCTTCCGTTCTCTATTCGGAAATAATATTCTGTAGAAAAGGCGACGAAAAGCGCTTTTCCTATTTTCATGGTATAAAACTCATTGTCATTGTTTTGAGGCATTTTGAACCGTCGCTTATAATTATAGCCGTAATCACTGTATGAATAATAAATTAATTAATTAGTTTCAAAATAAATGGTTAATTAATCCCTAACTGATCCCGAGTGCAGTAATATTCATGATTTCCTGGTATAACCATATATGGTATTCTGGCCGCTATCGGCTCAATGGCTTTGAGAAAACCATCTCCGAGTGTGCCTTTAAATGTGAACAATTCATATGCGATATCACCTGTAGATCAAAATCATTAGTATTGCCATACATTTTTGCACAGTATATCGTTGTATGGCATGACTACCGATATGAATGACTAAATCCATTGCATATTTCTCTGCCATAACTATTAGATTGGGTATTGAATAGCCTTTAATCCATCCCATGTCACCAAATATGACCACTTTTGGCACCCAATTGGTGTCTCTTCTCATTGTCTTAAATGAATTCTCTTCACTCCAAGACTGCGGGGAACCGACTCTATATTCTTTAATAAATAGGGTTTGTATTGAAATTCATATTTAAGAGATAATAATTATTATGCAACGAATGTACTGTATTTCATATTAGGCTTCAGATGCTTAAGAGTTACGTAATGAATGAATTGTATTTTATTGTCATTTTTCAATATTTGCGAATAACCGGTCTGTATGTGAGTGTACTCTCCCTTATAGACCCCATACGTGACGGCAGTCTTATTTGTTTGCCTTTTCTCACTCCAAATGATCACCATTTGTGACAAATCATCTGAACATTAATTATAATTATAAACCATAAATACTTTGTTATTGCGAATAATGGGAAACATTTTCTTACCTCCGATGGCGATATGGATCTGCTTTTGTTGCGACACTTTCTTCAAAGTCCTAGATTTGAATTTTGAAAAATAAGACAAAAATGCAAAACATTTTTTGGTTATTAATGAATCGTTTGTATGGTTTGTCATAATCAGAGTCTCACGGAATGGCTTGAGTTCTGTCATTCGTATAGTTATGTTCTTTACAGTGAATGACAATAAATGTCATAAGAAATAAAAACACCAAACTTTTCATTCGTTTCATTTCGCATATATTTGTTTCACTTCTCTTTCTTTTGAGACAAGAATTTGAATGAATTTATTTCAAATACAGAGGAAATGAATGCAACAATAAATGTGTGTAATTAGTGTATTACAAGTCGATATCAAATGAAATTTTCATTGTTGTACTAAATATAGATTTTGTTTGTAATAATCATATTAAAAGTTTAAGAGAAATATTATTTGGCAATTGATTTGTAAATAATTGATGTCATGACCTGATATACAAGTGTAATGGTACAAAGTCTTATGAACATGAACCTTTGTGTTTATGCTGTATTATCTTTTATTGATTAATATTATATAATGATTAATATTATATACTTTATAAATTTAATTTTCTCAGCAGATTTGCGAAATTGTCTATTGGATTAGGGATTTATTATAATTTATACACTAATACAGTATTATTTACCAAAATAACAAAATGTGAATTTTTCCCAAAGTCTAACTTCTGGTTATAATTAATATCAATTAATGTCTCTATTATTGCAAATAGTATTTAATATATGATAATTTGTAAATGCCTTCAATATATAATTTTAGACGAGTATTGATAAAATAAATGAATGTTAATTTTAACACATGTTTTAAATATTTCACAACTCTTTGCCATAATTAACATTTGCAGTAAATTTAAGCACATTTAATTATACTTATAATTGACAGTAATTGCTCAAAATCATTATCAATAACATGATAAGTTATCATTAATTACAAACTTTTACAAATTCTTGTATAATACCATATTCTATGTTAAAATTTCAATATGGAAGTCAAAAATGATTTTAAAATAGAGATTTTTTATTTGACACATATATTAATATTGTAGTAATCATCTAAAATAAAACAAAAAGTTTGAAACATTTATATATGATAATTTGTAAATGCCTTCAATATATAATTTTAGACGAGTATTGATAAAATAAATGAATGTTAATTTTAACACATGTTTTAAATATTTCACAACTCTTTGCCATAATTAACATTTGCAGTATAACATTTGGAGTCGTCTTACTTTGAAATCGATATCAATAAATTCAAACAAGGTTGTTTGCAAAACATCCTGTTAGTCATTCAATAACAAAATGTGAAAAAATTAATTTCTAAATTCTAAACATTTTTGAACAAGATCATATTTTATCCCCAAACTAAGGATGTGAGTATCTCGAAAACTATTTGAGATAATTAAAAAATTCTTTCACGGCCTGAACAAGTGTTTGAATAACAATTAAAAATACAATTAAATACTATTGTGACTAATGAATAATGAATGACAAACAATCATTAAAAGTTTTAAACAGTTATTAAAGTACTTTATCAACAAAAACTCAATATGAAAGTGGAGTTGAATTTGAACCTTTATTTAGTCTACAAAAGGATCTGAAGAGAAACTCTTGAGTTTTTGAGATTAATACCGAGTTTTTTGGCAATAAATGAATTTTCATATAAATGAAAATTAGAACATATGTAGAACATATTTGAGCGATAAAAAATTTTTAAAAAATAAATATTAAAATTTTAAAAATTTGACCTAGGATAATAATTTTTATTTATTTCATCTTTGTTTTATATGCTTTAATCATGATAAAAATTAAATTAAAATTTGATTGATTTTTTCGAAGTTAAGACAACTCCAAAGCACATTTAATTATACTTATAATTGACAGTAATTGCTCAAAATCATTATCAATAACATGATAAGTTATCATTAATTACAAACTTTTACAAATTCTTGTATAGTACCATATTCTATGTTAAAATTTCAATATGGAAGTCAAAAATGATTTTAAAATAGAGATTTTTTATTTGACACATATATTAATATTGTAGTAATCATCTAAAATAAAACAAAAAGTTTGAAACATTTTTAATGCTACTAAAATGATATACAAATGAAATGTATAACAAGTTTAATTCTTATAACCAAGAGCAATACTCAAACTACCTGCTAATTATTAAATAATCAAAATAATTTTTATATAAATAATCTGATTAAATAAATTAAATCAAAAATTAATCGTTATTTTTATTTTAATAATTCATTATATCATACATTAAATATATAGCTTTTATACACAATATTAAGATAAAGTTTATGTGACAAATCTTTACAATATATTTGTCTATATATTAATTAAATATATTACTTAAATACGGATATAAACACATAATTAAAATTATTAGAATTACATATTAAGATAATAATAAATATATAACAACAAAATGAGTCAATTTAAAGATTAACGTTGATTTGACAGCACCGGTATGTCTTCCCTTTCTTGGGTTCTGTTGTTGGAGATAACGACACATTATTTGCCTCATCTCTCAAGCATTTCTATTCAAAATAAATAATGAAAAGAAGTTTTTTAAAACAATTTGCATGAAATTGAATGCAAATAATAGGAAACGGTTTTCACCTCATTATAGATGTCTTTAGAAATCTGAAAGAAAGCCTTTTCGAGATTTATATTCTCCTTAGCGCTGGTCTCGAAGTGTTTGAGTCCGTAATCAATAGCCAACGCTTCGGCCACTTCTGCATTCACTTCCCTTTTTGAGCGCAAATCACATTTGTTTCCAATTAAAACCATTTTCACGCCTTTCCTCGTGTTCTTCATGAAAGACAACGAGTTTTAGTTTTAATGAATTATTATTTTTTGGTTTTAAAGTGCAGTGAGAAATAGGAAAAACGATTATAAAAAATAAAATTACATCATTTGTATGTTTAATCCAACGACTCTTAATGTTTTCAAAACTTTTCCGATTCGTGATATCATAGACGAGAAGTACTCCGAGAGCTCCTCTATAATAGGATGTCGTAATTGAGTCGTATTTCTCTTGACCTGAAGTATCCCTTCATATATGAAAACCAATTGTAAATAACAGTTATAATGAGTTTTAGTTTTTATACACTATTTTATATAAGAACTAGATTTCCTCTCAAAACCGCTTCACTCACCAGATCTGGAGTTTAATTATTTTGTTTTCAAAAGTTATGGTTCGGATCCTAAAATCGATACCTTGAATAAAATCCCACAATAAAAGTGATGAATACATCCATAATTGAAAGCAGATATCAAAATAAATTGCTAAAAGCATACCAATGGTTGGCACAGAAGCGGGTAAATAAGTCTCGCCGTGAAATCTCTGCAAAATACTAGTCTTTCCAACACAAGAGTCGCCGACAATAATCAGTTTGAAGAGATGGTCATACGATCGGCAGTTAAGTGAACTCGTGTTCACTGTATTGGATATCGATTCCAATGAATCCATGTCTTCGTTAAATTATCAAAAATCACTTCATTTCATGAATTACCACAAAAATTAAATTACAGAAACTATATTTATATTCAAAGACGAGAAGTGGTTGATAATGAAAAACGAGAGAAACTAAACAAATGTTTTAAAAAGTATGCACTAAAAGAAACATATCGTAAAAGTTATATAAGTATAAAGTATTTCCAGTGACTCATACGAGAAGTGTCTTTAACTCAAACTGACAACTGTTTTGCAAAGTTTTAGTCATTGATTTTGAGCGAAAAAATCTCAGTCTCTGTACTGTATGTCTTAGAGTAGGCTTTGGGTCAAGGAATACAACTGACGATAAATAAAAAACTAGTTTTTAGGGACAACTTCTGCTAAACAATAGATAGGCTTTTCATGAAAGTAATACGTAATCTGAATGTGATATCAATTCACGTAAAACTGAAACACATATAAAGTCTTAGCTCTGGATTCGGCCGACTTTTTCCTCAACAACTCTTTTCCGGAAAACATTTTTCCACATTTAATTCATACATTGTTTTGTGCCTTAACTATAACTATAATACCACTTGTGTTATGGTTTACATTATAATCATAGTATTCAATGCAAATGATAACAACACTACGGAATCGTAATTACTATGTATAATGAAAACTATACCTCTCTTATCATATTTATTATAATTTTTGTCGATAATTAGTCTTATGTCTTATTATAAGTCAATTATAATTAATGGCTATTTTTAAAATTATATAAAAATATTTAATGCTTGTATTAATTTCTAAAATGATTAAAACTAAAATGTGATCAAAACGTTATATTTATATGTCGTGGACTTGTCTTCTATTTAAATAATGAGTTAATGAGTTCGTGAATTCAATCCGGATATTAATATTTGATGTTTAATTACACTATCGTTTGACCCAATCTTTTCCCTATTAAATCATTTGTGAAAGAAGTAAAGAGAGAGAGAGAGAGAGAGAGATTTAGTATTAATTATTATGTTTTAATATATCTATTAAGTATAAATACCTTTTACTTTTTATTATATTTAAACTTAAATTATTACAAAATATANTAAGTATAAATACCTTTTACTTTTTATTATATTTAAACTTAAATTATTACAAAATATAAATCAATAGTGAGATAATCATTGAGTTATAGAGAGTGTGGGCTTGACTTTGAACTCAATTTCACTTTTTATCTATATTTCAAAATTCTTTCCTTATTTCCACATATTTTGTGCCAAATATTGTATTTTCGTTAAAATGAGATTCAATTAATTACTAAACAGGAGTTTTGATCATTCATTGATTAACTTAAATATCAAATATTAACAATAATTGTGTAGTCATATCGATATTATCAAAACACTGAACATTTTCCCAATCATTTTGCTTATTATTACAATATTCTGTCATTAATACTAGTATTTTATCACTTCATTAAAAGTATTTATTCATTTTTTCCGGTATATTATCAGACATTTGTTTTATCCTATTTTTTTAAAAACATAAAAATTTTTTAACTGAACAGAATTTAATTGAAGTAAAACTATCATAAAAGTTAACTAAATTATAATTTAATTAAGAAATTAAGATAAAAGTTTTAGATTTATGTTTTGAGTTGTAATTTAGTTTAAAGTTTATAAACACTGCAATAAACGGATAGTCAGAAGCGTGACTATAATTACAAATTAGTATTAATTTTATTCAAAGATTTAAATGTTAAAAATATAATACATTTTAATTATTTCGTCTTAAAAATAGTATACATTTAACAGTATTTTAACTAAATTTTAAATAAAATATTATCATTAATTTATATTAAATCTGAAACTGAATTATTGTAATTGTAAAAATACCTATTAAGCATCTACTGTTGTATTTACTTATGAACAATTGATGTTATTTAAATAACATGATGCTTTCATCATGAACATTTTCTCGTCAACACATGTAATAACTAAGGACGAGTTAAATAGGCAGCACTTAAATACATCCCCCTAAATAAAAGTGACAATGGGTCTTTCTTCTCTGATATGTAATTTGATCATCAAATCGTGGAAAATAAATTTTTCAGTTAAGTGATATTATTAGTATAGATGTTATGAGGCATGATGAGAAATTTCAATTGGTATAGTCGACAAGTGTCTAGGACATCAGGTTCGGGAGTTGTGACCATTTTTATTAAGCAGATTTAATTATAAACTTGACAAATATATATGTCATGTGACATATCAATAGATTGGATTTGATAAAGTGATTATGATTTTAAAAGAATATTTCAATTTTGACCTAAAGGAAAAAAGTTATACCAAAATTTTATATAATTGGCTTAATTAAAAAATGTTATTTATGTTAAAATATTATTAATGTATAACCATCATATTTATTTATTATTTATAATATAAATATTCATATTTTTAATAATTAAAAATAATTATATATTTGATTTGTTATATTACATATCAGAGAAGAAAGACCCATTGTCACTTTTATTTAGGGGGATGTATTTAAGTGCTGCCTATTTAACTCGTCCTTAGTAATAACATTAACTTTTGTGATGTCCTAACAATCAAAACTTTTGTAACGCCTTATTGGTTGACAAGAAGGCAAATGTTTTCACCTTTTTATTGTGTTATAAAATTAATTTACACTTAAATTAATTGCTTTTGTTATTAATCAGTGAAATGTGTTAAATAATTGACATTTCCGATACCTATTAGCCATATATTTAATCCTCTCTTCACATCATTGATTATTATTGTAAATAAAATAAATACAAAATTGTATAAAAAGTAGATTTGAAGTAAAACTATTGATGTAAACCGATTTTGTTAATATCTACTTAACAGTAATTTATTAACATTTGTACATGGCATTTATGTTTCAGTGGATTGTAATTTACAATGTGCATCTATTGTTGCAAGAATATTAATTTTACTTTATTTGTTTATATTTCTAGGATTTGCAACAAGTTGTGATATAATACAGTTTTGCTATTTTAAAATTGATCTAGGTTTCCGTAAATTTGGCATAACTTATATGACTATCAATAGCTTTTAATCCGTTTATAAATAAACAATTTACTTAGTTGATAATAATCGTTTTAATATTATAATAAACATGAGTTTAATTTAGTTTTTATTTAATTTGTGATCGCATACAGTATTAATCAAATGTTGATTAAAATAAACAACCGGTCATTAAAAGAGTGCAGTTATTAAAGAAATCACTTCATTTTTAGCCCAATTAACTCCTGATAACAATCAAATGGGTATTAAAAGGTATTAATTAAATCATTTTTAAAAATATTTAGTTTTCAAACTTTAGATTTAATTTAATTAACTTCTGTTGCGATAAATAATATATTAATTAGTTTGCATTCAATTACAATTGCAAAGACAACAATCAATTTATAATATTTTATAATAAATAAAAATATGTTTAGCTTAAGATTTTAATGTATTAATCAAAGTTTAAATTTATACTGGATATCTTTTTTGTTATTTTAATTTTGTTTTCATTGTTTACAACTAGAGAGAGAGAGAGAGAGAGAGAGAGAGAGAGTCATTATATAATTAAATTGAATAAACTTATAATTTTTGTCTCAACAAAAAGTATTGTTTTTATTATAATTTTAAATCTTTTTGTTGAAAGAAAGATATAAATAATACCAAATCCTGAGTCAAAGATCTCATTATATAAGTTATACAATCAAAATATGTGTTCATATAATTTAATAATTCATATAATTATTAATAATTCATATTAAATAATATAAATAATAAAGTGATTATATTTCGCCAACACATGTACTAAATATAATAAATTACTTACGATTACCAACAATAATATCGCACCACTTGTTTGTCATTTAGTAATTAATTATTGAAATTATATAAATTAACATGATAGAAAATTTAATATAAATATATACATTAAACCGATTTGTTTTGTTTCAATTTCTTGAACTAATTTATAAAAATTAATTGAATTTCTTATAAATAAATTAAAGAAATAAATTTTAAACTTTTAGTTTTTACAGTATTTTTAAAACATAATGAATGATAGGAAAAAGAATTGCATTTTAAGTTAAATTTATATTTACCTGAATTTATAATTTGTTTAAAATTAAAATATATTTTGTTTTTCGCATGTTATATATAATTGTATCTAAATTTATAAATTTTGAACAAATAATTTATAAATTAAATACTAAAAGTGTCATTCAGTTTGGTTTCTTTTAGATTATTTGAACAGTAATTGAGTGATGACTTGTTTTTGGTTATTATTATTTATTTTATGGTCAAAATCATGATTTAAATTTTATAATGCCTTCGGATATAACAACTATAATATGTAAAGTTAGTTAATTCGCACACTTATAGCAAAATTTACAAATAATTTGTAGTTTAAAATGACATTTAAATTCTATATTAAAACACATCTAAAAGTAAAGCTCGTTATAAAGTTTTTATAACATTATGATAAAAATTTGTTGCACCTAAAAATTGTATTTAATTAATGGTTATACAGTTTTTAAATATAAATCTTTACTATATATTACACACAAAATAATGTATAACAATGTTTCAAAGAAATTGGCTTTAATTTTATAACAAGTAATAAATATAAAGCCTTAAACTGTCTTTAATTTCAATACAAATATATATTTTATAAAATTTATTTCATTTACTTTTGGCTATTTTTAAATCGGTTGCAATAAATCAACGTTTTTCTGTGTATTTCAGTGACATTGCAATGCAGACTATAAATACTGATTAAATCAATGAATTAATTATTAATTAAATATAAAATATTCACTTTTATCTGTGAAATATATTTGTCAGAAAATAGCTATAAGTGTTTTTCGTCTCTCTGTTAACAATTGATTTATTGAAACCAAAAATATCTTTAATATTTATATTGATTTAATTGGCATTCAATTGAGAATATATTTACGAAACAAAAACTGAAACTAGTTTTCAAACGAAACGCCA